ACTTGAATCTGAGGGACAGACCCCTCGCCACATATTATCTGCCAATTGAAACTCATTATGAAGCGGTCCTTTCGATACAATAAACCTGTGCTTAGATTTGGACAAAATATTCACTAATCTCTTCATATTGTCCACATCTGCCGCACCCATAGATCCCAATGAAAAATATATTAATTTTCCCGTTTTGTTCCTTAACTTCATCGGTATTTCAAATATCATGTGTTTTTCCTTACGCTTAAGATTATCAAATCTGTGCCAATTGGGAGGCAATGGTTTCATATCCTGATAATCCAATTCCAATGGATAGCCGTAAATATTTAAATATTTAGAATGATTAATAAAAAATGGTATTTGTTTAAAATCTATTGCTTCGCATCCATTGTTTAGTAGATATTGATTGAAGTCGTCTCTAATGCCGGCCTTAACTCTATTCGCTTCATCTCTGAATGCTTTCCATTCACTCTGCGCTCCAATCGCTGCTAAACCTTAATTTCAATTAACATAATATTTAGAAAAATGTTAGTTATTTTTGATAAGTTAAATTTTTATTTACACACAATATCAATTAAATGTCTATTATGTAATGTCTTTACATTTAAATAAATAAATTATTTTATTTAGATTAATAATATATAAAAACCTGAGTTTGCTGGTGGTAATTCATCGCCATCAAAATGAATTAACGGGTTGCAACTGTTGACCAAAACCCAGGGTATTTGGGACATGAGCACCGATGGAAGCGATATTACTTGATCCATAATTATCACATCGGGATTAATTGTTGGTATTAAACTTTGCAATTTTTTATCCAATTGTCTACTTTGCTCAAATAAATAAGGCATTGTATTTTGGATCAAATTGATCATGTTCTCCAGTGATGTCGTGTCTTTTTTAATTGCTCCGTCAGAAACAAATCTTTGTGCCCATTCGCGCCCGGGATCTACTGACCCGTCCCGACCCTCTTCCGTAATTAATACCTCTTCGATGCCATACTTTGTGAGCCGACCCCTCCATTGCTCGTTCACCACAAACACCACCCGATGTCCCGCTTGTATCAGCACTTCGGCGATACCAATGCTGGAGTTGACGTGACCCACGGCGTCGATCGGCACAAATAAGATGGTTGAATTTTGATGCATTTTATTTCAGAAAATTAAACTAAATTAAAATTAAATAATTTTTAATATTTTAAAATTAAAATTACTATTGATTTTGTAATTGTGAGATAAAATATTTATTAGTTACTTATAACTTGTATTGTTGTCTAGCTTTATATACAGTACATGAAGAGATCTGTAGATGGGATTTCACGTGGTTAATAGTCTTATAATTATACAGTGTATATTTATTATTTATCATTAATTTGATAATAATCAACTAATGTTTTATATCATGGAAAAATGCACCTAGTTTTCAATGCCATATAGTTGGGCCAATTAAATTTTCATATTAGTGAAAACAAAATCATTTATTGTTTAAAATGTCTTATCACATGAAATTAATTTGCTAGGGCAGAGTTAGTGCAAATGAAGTCTACATATAATTATAGTTATGCTTACTATACATAAAATAAATTTTAAACATTAAAATCACGTGTTAATTATTAGTTAAATACTAAATGCACTGCGTGTACAATATATGTTTTTAAATTAATGAGATATTTATTAAATGATTAATTATTGTTTGTATATTTTCTCAATAATATTTGATTATTTTTAATTGAATTAAATTGAATTTATTGATTCTTATACACGTGAATACATACAACATAAACTGATTTTCACGTAGACGTGTAATCGTGCCCGATTGTATTATTTTGCAATATGTTTTATAGTTTTAAATTCAATTGAAATAAATTATGAGTAAATTTGTTATCAGAACGATATTCTTATTATTTTAGAAATATAGTAAAATACTAATTAAATCTACAGTTAATAAGTTACAAAACAATGCCTTTAATAAATGATAAATTTTATATTGTAAAGAATTTAATTTACAACAAAAACTGGTTAGTTATTGTAAATATTAGCTTTTGCCACAATTTTTTCAATAATTTCTGGTAGTTTTGCGATACTACAATCATTTATGTTGTACTGTAAATTAGTGTACCAAAACGTGTCACGTTAACCCGTGATTCACGCTCACGCACGCTCACGAGCCGTGATCGTGCGTGAGCGTGAAAATTTTTTAAGGACTCGTGAGTGAGCGTGAATCACGGTTGGAATCT